TTGCTAATTCAGTGATAAAATTTGATATACAATGACAGGTTTGCTTACTATGCCTAGATCAGTGATAAAATTCGCTATAACAATCATAGATTTGTTTAATTTTCCTAATTGAGTGATAAAATTTGCTATGAGAAAATTATCTCTGAAATTTGTATCACATCATTTATTTTTTTAATTTTCATCTATGTAGGAGAACAATTTGAAGCACACAGATGAAGAGAAAAAAATATACCGAATGCTGCTAGGAGAAATTCAAGATAAAGATGAAGATGAAAATGAAGATCAAGATCAAGATGCTGATTTTTAACAACAAAATTAGGCTAAAATTTTTGAAAAAGAAGAACAAACAGTGATTGAAGACAAATCCAAACATAAAACATGGGAACTAATTCCACACAAAATATGTCCTGAAAAGAAAAAGAAAACAGTACCCTTTGAATCACAAAAGAGTGAGGAAACAAAGTTGACAAAGAGCCTGCAGTGGATCCAAATCTGGTAGAAGTACTTGTTTTTGAGAGGATAGAAGACGACATGCTCAAAATGGAAATGTTACAAATAAAAAGAGACATCCTTCAAACTACAAATGATAACCTGCAGCAGCAACTCAACAAGCTGAAAAAGAAAATGCAAGATCAACACAAAACTACAAAAAAACAAATGCAAAGGAAAGATGAAAAAATCAAAATACTCCATGAGAGAATTGCAACATTGGCTGAGGCAAACAAGTACTCGGAAGAACAACACACACAACAGCAGCCTGCAATGAAGAAATTGAAAACTTCAAACGAAATTTTCAGCATCCTACCAGAAAAATCAAGGCAAAATCTCATTGCACATTGGGCGAATACAAAAAAAAAAGTAACAATCTTCTCTCTTGACTCCTGTAGTTCACTTTTGCCGACTGTTTATCATTAACTCATGTTGAACTTATAAGTATCAAATATTCCAAAAATATTAATAAATTTATTATTCCAACACCAATAACCTTTTTTTCAAGGATCAGCCAATGTGGCAAGGATCTCACCATGGAACCTATGTCTACTTAAATGACATTGACAAAATATTGAAGGGTCAAGATTTGGCAGGCATTGTAAGTTGAATTTGTAACTCATTAAAATAACATTTTAGTGTTTGATTTATATTAATTCCTTGTTTTGTTTTTTGTTTTCAACACAGGTAATAGATGCATATGCAGAACACTTGCTTGCACAAAAACAAGGAACAACATCATTCATATTCATTTCAAGTTACCATGTAAGTAACTAGTTTGCTTAACTGAGGAACAATACTTGTTTTGTTTTTTATCAGTGTATAACCTCTGTTTGCTTAACTGAGTAACTAGTTTCAAACATATGAGACTACCTTCCCTCTTCAATTGGCCCTGTTTCCTAATTCAAAGCTTGACATGTGAAACAAAAAGTCAAGCAAACCAAACCAGAATTTTTTACTCAGATTTTGTAATCACTGTTATATATTTTGACCTTGTTATTATGGTGCCACAGTATGAGTAAATCCCAGACTTTGATTACAAATTCTGGGCACTTTTTTGGATTTTCGAAACTACTGCAGATGATATTGAGAACTTCAACAAATATTGAGATGTGTTGAAATTGAAATAGCTTGATTATATGCTATGACGTTGCAGGACATAGTTCACTTTCATTTTGTTAGTGGTGAAGCCTCATAGAACTCTTGTTTGATGTAATTTATTAAGTAACGGACAACTTTCATTACAACTATGGAATGGAGAGAATCATGATATATATATATATATAAAAGTAGATGTGCACACTCACATGAGTGTACTTGAAATAAGCAGTATGGATATATAGCCTGTTACAGATCATTTATGAATATTTACAGAATGAAAGAGAAGCATAGTATAGATATATTAGGGGATATAAAGATCCATTTCACATGGAGGAGAAAAAAAGGCCTCAAGACACTAATAGATGTGTTCCCTTTATATGTAGTATAGATGAATTTTGCAATGCACTGATAAATTTTGATATGGATTGATAAAATTTTGATTACAGTGACAAAAAGTTTCATACTCACCACCTATTTATTTGAAAAAGTTTAAAGTTAAATTAACATTATTTTTTTTTATTTATATTTGGTAGCACTTGTTAACTACAAAAGATGAGGAAGTAAGAAAGAGAATGCTGAACAAAATGCTGCCTGAAACCATGAAAGCAAGATACCTTCTCTTTCCAATCCACCAAAATTTTCACTGGACAATACTTGTCTTTGTCATTGAAGAAGGTTCATGCAAATTATACAATTCCAGGAGACCAAGGGGAGCAATGGCTAAAGATCCACACTTCAATGCTGCAAATGAAGTGGTAAAAATTTTTTCACTATCAAACTTAACATTAATCCAATACATCAATCCTAATCCATGCTCAATTATACATCAAAAATTTATACAGTAACATATTTATCATTCTTTAAACCATGGTTTCTCATTAATTGTTTCAACTGACTTTCTAATAGAATAATTATACAAATGTATATGTTGCAAAGAGAGATTATTGATAAGTACATAAAGGATGAGAAGCCAACTCTCATCCACCCTGATAAATTTCAACAGGAGACAGAGAGTGTCATCAACAGCCCACAACAAGAAGACACGTCGTAAGTTTATCAATAACAAAACACTGTTATTAAAAAAAAAATGATGAAACCAAATTATAATATTTTGTTTTCAAAATGTTTTTGCAGGCTTGATTGTGGAATCATTGTTTGCTATATCATGAGGCAATATGTTTCCAAAAACAACATAATGCCTACTTTTTTCAAAGAAGAATGCAATCAATTGAGAGCTGATATGTTAACTATCTTCTTGACTGACCAACAAGTTGCTCAATGACAAATACATGGTGAAAACATTGATGGCTTGCCTCTGCAATAATCAACAGATCTAGAATAGAAGAAAACAAAAGGAAACACTGATTCATTTGGTTGTTAGAATGTCAATACTTCATACATTTTGCTTGTTTGCTTGTTATAGTGTTACCTGTATTTTGATGATTTTGGTACTTACTTTCCTCCAATGAATATTACAATGCTTCGTTGTTACAATGTCAAAGTTATGGACAGTGCTTGGTTGTTACAATGTCAAAGTTATGGACAATGCTTGGTTGTTACAATCTCAAATTTGCTTCAATGAAACATTCAGTCTTTTTTAGCCATATCGTTACCAGATCTGGCTTTTGATATCAGTCTTGTTATCCAAATTTCATTCAAAATATTGATTCTAATCTGAGTATTTGTGTTGAATTTAAAGGTTAATAACAGGTTTGGAGTCACTATACTGATAAATTTATTTTTTATAGTGTTTTGTTTACCCTAATAAATTTATCACTGTTTCAACAAATTTATCACTGTGAACACTGATAAATTTACCACTGTTCAAACAAAAAAACCAACGACTCTCTCTCTTTCTCATTCTTTTTTCCCAATTGAAGTAAACAAAACACTATAAAAAAAATAAAAAATTTACCTAATTGAAAATTAAAACACAAGCATTATTACATTGTCCAAATTGAAAATTAAAATACTGTTACAATTTGTAGATATTCCCAACTTTGAGAATGAATGTAAGAACATGCCATCCTTAGTGATTTCTGAATAATCAAAACCATTTGATACTTCAGTTAAACAACTCAAACATCCAAAGCTAGCTTCTCAATGACCACAAAAAAATATGCAGACTGAAAACTTGTTACTAAACCAGATAAACATGGTAGTTGATCTAAATTTTTTTGTTTTTTAAAGCAGTTAACACAGCAGATATGCAATTATGTATTCTAGAGATTTGATCTACACCTTTGTATTGTGAAAATTTTTCCTGAGAAAACTAGATAACTCCAGACAATGATAAATTTATCACTGTAGAAAAGAACATTTGCTTGGATATGACAGTAATAAATTTATCAACCACTGACATAAATGTAATAAACCATCAACTCTTCCCACATAATAAGTGATAAATTTACCATTCTTCAAAATAACAAAATTCAAGAACCACATTAATGGTAAATTTATCATTCTTACAAAAAAATAATCCATCAACTTGTCCAAACCAACCAGTGATAAATTTATCACTTTATAAAACACCAAAAATAACAACTACATTTAACCCAAATCAAATAATATAAATCTGTGAAACTTAATCCTATAAAAATATCAGCAAAAAATATAATTTCTATTCAACAAATTCCTCAATCATTCAATGCGAGTACCAAAATAATACATCTTTCAAAAAATACTCAATCATTCAATGCAAGTAACACCTCTCAACTCTCAACAAAGTAATTCAATTAAAATCAATACAACTAAAGCAAAGCTTCTTTACATGTCTTCCGATTATGAGTTCCCATCTTTCCACACCTACTGCACCTAATTCTCTTGATTTTGCCCTTAGAAGGTATTCTCTCCGTTCTTGGATGTCCAACTGGTCTCTTACAAAGAGGAGGTAAAATAACGTCATCATCAACAACTATATTTGGCTTCCACATACTAGGAACTGGATAGATAGAATGTGAATAAGAATCACAATAACTACTAGCACGGTAGTAATCATCAAGAAAGCAATTCAGATCCTTCTCACTCCTCTTTATAGCACAAAAACCATGTTTGCAAGGAAAAAAATTAATTTTCCACAATCGACAAGAACAACAACGTTTCCCAATATCAACCATAACTGAATGATCCAATTGGATTTCATAAATGTCATCGCTACATTTCTTAACTATCTATGCTTTGGTATCATTAAAAGCTTCTTCCAATTTTTTCTCTGCAAAAAGACAAACAATATGATTCCACTTATTCCCAACTTCTATCCTTCTTGAAAATTGCTCCATTAGTTTCACCCGTATAACATCAACAAGATTAGTTGAAAACAAATGGCGTTCATCCCTAATCCATGAATTAAAAGATTCCGCAGTATTTGTGCACATTTCACCATACCTCTTGCCTTGAAAATAAGCATTACATCAACACTCATTAGGCAAATCCTCAAGAAACTTCTCAACAGTACGACCACAACGACTCTTAAATTCTTCAAACAGCTCATTAAACAACTCAATAGTAGGAGCATATGCACATATACTAAAAAGAGTAAGCAAATACTCTTTAGATTCACGACTCTTCACTGACAAATAAATCTTCAAGTTTGTCTTCAAATGTATTAGACAAAAAGAATGAGAAGAAAATTCTTTAGATTCACGACTCTTCACTGACAAATAAGTCTTCAAGTTTCTCTTCAAATGCATTAGACAAAAAGAATTGCAAGAAAACGGAAAGACCTCAGCTAAAGCTTTCAGCAAACCTCCATGTCGATCAGAAACAAATGCAATATCCCTCTCCGGAGTCAAAATACCTAATAACTTTGACAAGAACCAATGCCAACTGTCATAACTTTCATTATCAACAATAGCAAAACATAACGGATATAAACCTACAAACAAAATATATATATACGTTATCAATGACAAATAAAAAAATTACAAAAAGAAAATCAAAACACAAAGTATATAGCATATAGCACCAGCCATAGATAAATTTATCACTGTATAAATATAAAAATTTAACAAAAGTATACAGCATAAATTTACCACTAATAGATTGACCATACTCAATAACCAGCACTCTCCAGTAACAAAAATGATAGAATTATCACTGTTTCAATAATAATAACAAATAGACACAAAATATACCTCGGTTACCATCTTTTGCCGTAGCAGCCAATAAACAACCTTTGTGTCTTCATTTCAAGAAAGTTTCATCAAGCATCAACACAGGCCTACAATACTTGAAACCATAAATACATGCCTCAAAAGCGAAAAACAAGCATTTGAAATGTCTTCCTTTACTATCAATATCAAATTCCATATCAAAAACACTCCCCGGATTGCAAGCATTAGCGGCATTAACATACCAACGAAGATCGTCAAATGATGATGAATAGTCACCAAAAACAAGGCTCCTTGCTTTTTCAATACCCATCCAAGCTCGCCGATAAGAAACTTCTGTTCCATAATAGTCTTTGAAATCACAAACCACCTCATTAACCGATGTCAAAGCCTTATTACAAATATCACTTGAAATTAGCCCACCAATCATACTTGAAGTCATCCTAGCATGTTTAATTGTACGAAAAGAAGATCCAAAAGTATGAACATCATCAAATTATTTAATAACAAAAGCTTTACTATAATTTTCCACTCTAGCATGCACGCTCCATAAACATCCCAAATCAGCCATTCTTTTACAATGAACAGTGACACGATCCTTATCATTCTTAACAAAATCAAAATTAAAACCGGAATGAATAGAATACTTTGACAACGCATCTCGAAATTCAACAACTCCTTGAGCAAACCTTTGCCCCACTTCTTTCATACAATTAACCCACCCATCGGAGAGCAAAGGTTTCCGTTGATTTGAATAAAATGAAGGCAAAAAATCAGTTTCACAAACACTGCTGCTAGCTTCACCATCACAAATCATATAACCTTCACCCAAAGAACAACACTTTACAAAAATATCAATACGATGAATATCACAAGAAAGTGCCAGTTCAACCATAACCTCCAAATCCTCTTCACTTTGTAGACTACAACAAGAATGTCCAGGCATTAAATACGATATATTCAAAGAACTGCCAACTAACTCACTCCACTTTGCACACAATTTATATACTAAATCCTTGAAATTAAATCCATCATTATACTTGATAACCAATGTCATACCTCTAAACTTGCACATAAGAAACAAACAATTTTCCATCACTATAAATCCTGCAACAAACAACAATTATATTTCAGCAAACAACTCAAGCACCCTAAAACAAAATAAAAAACCGTGATAAAATTATCAACCAACTCAAACACATCTAAAAACCAACATTGATAACTTTAACAGTTAACACCACCAAAGACCAAGAACAGTGAATAAGGCTTACACTTATTAGACATGGTAACTCGATTTGAATCTTACCATTACATTATGCAACCTTTTCATCTCCTATTCCCATACTCACTCATAAATTTATCGCTGTTGAAAAAGTTAATCCAACAACACCCCCAAAATACACAGTGATAAAATTATCACTGTATAAAATAACAAACCAACACCTGTGTTTAATCAACACAATTTCGTACCCAAAAAAATAAAAATCTAAAATTCAATCAATATATACATATCTCAAAACTTTCAATATCATGATCAAAACACAAATTCAATCGCAACAGAAACAACAGAGTAACGACAATATCACCACAAATTCAAAATCACCAACTCAAACTAAAAAGAACCAAAACATTGAAATTGAAATCAAAATCAAACATACCAGACGACCTAACTCCACAACATCGCAAATCAGAAAATGTAACTATACACCAAACATGAAATCGCAAATAGGAAGAATCATCAAGCACGCAATCACAAATCACGAAGATACACCAAGCTCGAAATCAGAAATCACGAAGCTCCACAATAATGCAGTAGCAAATCGTGAAGTTCCACAGAAATCCAAATCACAAACACAATATTTTGATGGAAAATCCAAACAGAAACGCGCCAAAACAGGGGAGGGGTAAAACAGTACAAAAAAAAAGAAGCTCAGGACCTGTGTGTGTACAAGAGCAAAACTTAGGACTAAGAGGGGAATAAGTGTAAAAGGTAGGACCGGCTAGTAAAAAACCCTTGTTTTTGTCTGTGATATAGTTGCCATTGCCCACATTGTTAGCTATCATAAAATTTATTTCTAAACTTGTATATATATTTATATTTTTATGTATATATTTTATGTAGGGAGTCCTCACTTCATATATAGTACTAGCGTATGCTCGTGCCTAAAGGCACGGTGTAATTTTTTTTTTCTTTTCAAAGAGTAGGAAGTGAATTTTTTAAAATGTTTGACATTGGAAAGATATGAATGAAGTGCATCTAATAAAAAATTTAAAACATGAAAAAAATTTATAAAAGACAAAAATAAAAGATTCAAAAAATAAAATTTAGTTTGAAAACCAAATTTTAGTCATCATATTATTCATGTTCCACTTTAATGCATAGCCAACATAGTCATTGACCCTCTACATCTTCATAACATTGTTGCTTACGCTAAAACATAAAAAAGATCACACAATGGCAGAGACTAAATTAGTTATATAATTTTATTTGACAACCGTAACTTCCAAATTTCCTTGTTCATAAAAAAGACTATTCTATGCTTCAGAAATGATCTCTTGTCCTGGAAAACTTATAACCCTTTTATCTTATTTGACTCACAATCGTTTGATCATACCTCGAGAAGTTCACATGATTCAACGATGTGTAGAACTTCGAATTGTCCGAAAAAAAAAAAAAAAAAAAACCTATAACAACATTGGATATATAAATTTACAGACAACAAATATTCCTAGTACGGGGTTTCAAATGGCTGACTATTCAAAGCAGAATTCTAAAGGATGAAGGGAAAAAACTCCATTTTATAGAGGCACTATTCGACCCCAGTTTTGCTCTGCATCAAATGGCTCGATCACATAGATTGCACCATCACTCATTCCAAGCGTGATTTGATTAGGTTGAGATGGATGTGCTGCAGTCACCATAGGAAAGGCATAGCCACTGTTTCTTCTACAGAATTAATAGCCATCTTTAAATGATTAAATCAGCCTCTCAGTTATTAGATCATTCGGGAAATGGAACAAAACATAATACAGATTATCTTACCTTTAACTTAGCATACATACATACATACATACATAGAGAGAATCACATAGCAAAGGAGAACACACAACAACAATTGATGCCTCCAAGTTACCAGTCACAAGTGATCAAAATTAGAAAAGTTTCAAGAATCCAAATCTTGTTTGAAACTCTATCCCAATATAGAAGTTTGCCAACTGACAAAGATTGGGAGTTAGCTACAGAAATATGTGGGATAAGATTTTTTTTACAATGTAACTGAATATCCAACTGCAAATTTGTATTTTTCCAAGGTTTGTGAGATTCAACTTTCCCAATGAGTCGAGTCTCCAAATGAGGTGATTAAGACTATGGCATCAAAACTTGGTTGAGAAATATGACAATTGGTCAACAATTCTTGGTATTTGGTATATCAGCAATACTTGTAAAAGGAATATGGTAAAACAATGAGAACTTGGGTTGAGGTAATAAAAAAGACATGACTATCTTAGCTACAACTGAGGATAAAATTACGAATGGAACTAATTAGAGAAAGTGGATCTATACAACCAACTCCATGTTGTTTTTTCTCACAGTATAGAAACATTCAACTTCTTTTAAGAAAATTCAGCGAAATTTCAGAGCATTGAAATTTATAGAAACATTCAACTAAGAAGTCAGAGCATAGAAACATTCAACTATGAAGTTTTTGTCTATGTTACATGACATATTGGCTACATCAAGAAATTCAAATGGAGGCTGTTTACCGTGAGCACATCCAATGCAACATAGGATCAACTCATATGGTATTATAAATGATTTTTAAGCCCTTATGCAACCATTTAATACAGAACTCTGGATTATTATCAGCTATCAAGTCCATAAAGACCATGCAGATGCACTACTAACTCTGAATAGCTCCACCATATTTATCTTAAATCATTTAAGTTAGTGAAAAAATGAATATTGGTCATGTTTCAGATATTCATATAATTTGAAATATTAAAAAACTATTTTTTGCTGCAATCCACAAAACTCCTGCGTGCCACATGTGAATATGAGAAAATTCATTCTTTTTTAAGGAAAATTTGGAGCAATAGAGTTAGCAAAAATAAATGGGCATCAAAATGTCTATTTCTCTAACCCCAGTAAAAAACAATGGTCACCACCACAGACATCAATTTCATATGGCACTGTCAAAATTTCACAGGTCATGTATATCACTAACTTAACGTATGACTCTACAAAAATTGAAACAGCCTTTTACAATAACATACTGAACCATAAATGAACCTTGACACTAACTAACTCTGGTTGTTGAGAAAACTGAGGAAAGAAGGGAAAAAAAATTAAAAAATAGAAGAAGAAGATGATTTTGAATCCTTTATCTTACATTGTTTTGTTTTCCATTCAAATCATAAACTATGAGAAAACGAAGCATTAGAAGTTCATATGTTCGCAATTAGAATCTCACCTGAAAATTAGCCCTAATGCTTCGCAAAAACTCCGTTTTCTGCTTTCTCCGCAAGCCTTTCAAGGCAAAATCTGAAATTTCAAGTAGAAACTGAAATCATTACCCAACTAATCATCACAGTTCGAATAAAATCAAAGAATAAACGCAAAACTATGATTGCAAACTTCAATTAAAATTCAGTTAAAACCTAATCAAAGCTCGGAATTTCTCGGATCGAATCAAGCTACTGCAAAATGTGGAATTCAATTCTAGAAATTTGAATTTGGAGCCACAAAACTTGGCACACTGATAGAGATTTTGTGATGATGTATCCAATTTTCGGAGATTTTAAGCTCTTTGAATCAGAGAACTCGAATTCAAAATTTGTGAAGCACAGTAGGGAGAGAGAGAGAGAGAGAGAGGGAACTGAACGGGTCTATTTTATGACAGAGTGATCTTACCTAGAGAGCAGTAGTTTTGGGAGTGAGTGAGGAGGAAGGGTATGGAAGAAGAAGAACAGGGAGAAAGAGAGAGATAAAGAGGGAATGGGGTGGGTGAGAACAGAGAAGAGAGGAGATAAAGATACAATGGAGGGGAGAGATGGGTAAGTGGGAAGGTGACAACAAAGAAGGGAGAGAGATAAAGATAGAATGGAGAGAAGACGTGGCTAAGTAGGAAGTTTAGTGTTTGGACGGGAAGTAAATGTTGATATATACTTGGGATTGATATATATTTAAAGGGGGCTCATCCGTCTATCTAAATATATAAGTGAATCATGACCATTAAAATGTCCTAGTAGGACAATTGTCTCTAGGATAAATTCAAAAACCTTTCTCCCTTATTATATAGATGTACAATTAAGAGTGTTAAACAAATCAAAAATATTTTAGAGTTTATTAAAAGTTTCAAATCAAACTTACATAATCAATTGTTCATTCAGGCTAGTTCAGTAAATTCTAAAATTATATACAAATATTAAACTATTCGAACTTGACTCGACAAAATCTCATTTGAAATCGATTTAAAAGGATTTCATTTACGTGCATTTTCTTCAAAATGTAATTTTAATTTTGGTATTTTGTCTTGATTTTATTTTAAATTGATAAGTAAATTTTTGTTCGGTGGTAATTATATAAAATTATTACATATTCATAAAAAAATTATGATTTTAATTATTTATATTTTTAAAATTGAACACTTATTTATAATTATTTTTCTAAACACTAATTGATTTGAAGTTTTCTCTAAATTCAACCCTTTTTAGTCTGGTTTTTTAATTCCATATTTTTTTACCCTCAAATATAAGGGGGAAAAAATTGTTCACCATGACAAAACCAAACCCAAACCCAAATTCAGACCCGCCCGATTTGACAATTCGCAGACCCAAGCGGATAAGACCCATCAAAACAGCTTGAATGACCCCAACAATCCAACGCCCCACCACCGGTAATTATTCAATAATGTGGGGAATCAGCATGCAATATTTTATAATATTATAATTAATGAAAAAATAAATAAGTAAAATATTATGTTAAATAATTAAAAAATATAATTAATGAAAAATTAAATAAATGAAATTGTTAAATAATTAAAAAATTAAAATATTATATTAAATAATTAAAAAATTTAAAGGACATATTAAATGGGGATCGATTAGTGAGCACGTATAATACACGTGCTAATCCAAAAATATTGAGTAATTTCCAATTAAATAGGTGAAATATTATGTTAAATAATTAAAAAAGTAAAATATTATGTTAAATAATTAAAAAATTTAAAGGACATATTAAATGGGGATCGATTGGAGAGCACGTATAATACACGTGCTAATCCAAAAATATTGAGTAATTTCCGAACCGGGCACTAGTGAATAGAAACACACATTGCGAACGCACCAAATCCTGATATCCGTAACGTCTTTCAGTTCTCGTCACTGTGCTCAAAATCGAGTTTCGATCGAAATCGTTTCCAAACCCTAATCTCAACTTTTGATTTCTCCCCCTTATTTTTTTCAGCATCTACAGTTTTTTTGATCACTTTTTTCAATGAAGGTTCGATACTTCTTGCATTCACTTTTTTTTCGGGATTTATTTGATTCGGTTTGATGGGGTTGATCCGTAGAACTTGATGATTCTTGTTGAGTTGCGTTTGGATCTTTGAATTTAGGTATTTTCAATGTTCTGATATTTGATTGGTAGTTGTGTGGGTTGGTCCTGACTCCTGTGTATATTCCAATATTGTATAAAACAGTTTCTTTGATTATTACATTGTTTGAGTTTTACTTGATGTGATTATAACCCACTTTCAATCAAATGTTGCACCTTTGGATTTGGAAGCTTATGGGTGATATATTGATCAGTGGTTTTTTACAATTTATTTGAGGTGTCCGAGAATGTGGGTTTGACACAGAATTGGATTATTGTAGATACATTGTGTGTATTTTGTATGCATAGACCCATAAGGAGGTTTTAAGATGTCATTTAAAAGTATAATTCAGGACATGAAGGAGGAGTTGGGGAGCATTTCAAGAAAAAGTTTTGAAGGGAAGTTTGGATATGGGTTGAGGTCTAGGTTGCACCGGGTGGTTCAGGATAGTTCGTTGGTTGTTAATTGTCTGAAGCAGAGTTGTTGGGCCACTATGCCTCCTGAGCTTTTGAGGGATGTCTTGTTGAGGATTGAGGCATCAGAGTTTACTTGGCCCCCACGGAAAAATTTGGTTTCTTGTGCCGGTGTTTGCAGGAGCTGGAGAGAGATTATGAAGGAAATTGTCAAAACCCCAGAAGTTTCAGGCAAGTTGACATTCCCAATCTCCTTGAAGCAGGTCAGTTACATGAAGCCTAAAGGATCTAGTTTTCTTGTTCCTTTTCAATTTAACTACTCTTGCTGTTGCCTACTCTGACATTGTCTGTTTCCATATGTTGTTTAAGGTTTTTATCATCATATGTTTGTGCTTTCCGTTCAAGGTTTGTTGAACCTAATTTTTTCAGCTGACATTTACCAAGGTGTTGATGAACATTTAGAATATATGAAAAAAGTTGGCTAATTGGTGAAGTTAGGCAAGTGAATTAAAGGAGCAATTTATAATGTGTAGGACTAGATGATCAATTTTACTCCAACCTATCCTTTTGATTGCATTTTGGTTGTTTTTCTTGCTAATTCCAAATAACAATATTCAATGCTACCTAATACATCAGGAAAAAATAAACACGGGGGAGATATGAATTATAACCTTTATGCTTTGTTTGGTTGGGAGATTTGAGGAGGGATTTGTAAATGGAAATAGAAAAAGTAGGTGAAATGTGAATAAAACATATCTATATTTCATCTAGTTTCACACACATTTTTCCTTTCCAAATCGCTTCTTAAATCCCCCAACCAAACACAGCGGTAAGGGGAAACAGCAGATTCGAGATATTCAATGACATTTTCATGTCATACATGTAGAGACATGGAGTTGTGTTTAACATGAGTGTTTCCTCTCTGTCTAGTAACACTAATGAGGTTACTAGCTTGTTATCTGTGGGCAAGAGAATGAGTTCTGAACTTCCCAAGTTCAAGATATGATTGTCTATGTGAATTTATCAAACTGGATGGGTACCCCTGTATTTGTTTCAGTTTTAATGCACATATGCAATGCAATAACCATGTAGAATAAAAAGGCAAAATGAGGAACTGAATAGCAAGTTGGGTGGGGAACAAAAGGTAATTTTCACTTCTCTACATATTTTTGAAGTAAATATAGGTGCTTTCTTTTGTAAGCACCCAAATAAGTATTGGATACGAGATCAGTGTCCTACATTTGAGGTTACAAACTTGTAAATATGACATGAACATGAAAATTTGTCATACTTGTTTTAGCTTAATGTTAGTAAAGCCATTTGAGTCTAAAATTGTCAATGATTTTAAGACCATTCTGATAATTTTAGAGGACTGGTTTAGAATTAGGATTGGGTTAGCCTGGGAAACCCTTCCAATATCAGTGGCATGGAACAGATTGGGTTAACTTGGCTTCATCATCATATTTGTGTGTGTGTATATATATATATATATTTTTGAATAAGGCTTACCACCATACACAAAAGTTGTGGGACCCACATAGGTTCCATAAATATGTGTGGGACCCATACCTTTGTGTCTAGTGGGAAGAAATTCATTTATGTATAGCATTTCCTTTGTTTTTTAAAATTTTTCTTTTTTTGGAAAGGCCATCCAATGTGTATAAATTTGGAGGAACATTCTACCATACATGAGAGTGGTTTTCATGTATGGCACATAAAAAAAAATTATAGACCATTAGATGTAGATAGAATAAATGTTAGCCATTAGATGAGTAGATAGTAAAACTAGGTAGAAAAAGTAAGGTGGTTTTTCAAAAAGTAGAGTATTTTTTTCTTAATTTTGAAATAAAAATAATAGTACTAACTTACCATTTGCTACAAACATACTTACTATTTGCTATTCACTCATTTACTATCTGTTATGAATAAGCTTACTGTTTAAAATATTACTTGCTAAACAGGTCACCTTTATTATTTGAAAATTGTGCCCTCTTTTGCATATGACACACTATATTTAATTATTCTCTCCATATTTTGTCTTGTTATGATTTGTAAAAAGTAAAATATGATATGTAAATATTAATTTATTAAAATTTTTAAAATAGTCATTATTGTGAAAAAATAAATTTCAATATAATATTAAAAATAAAAATAAAAGTGTTTTTAAATTGTAAGTTATTTAAACGTATTTTAAAAAAAATTAATTTAAAATAGTTGCTTTTTTTTATGACTACAACATGTCAAAAAATCTTTAGAAACTTTTATAAATTCCTAATTATTATTTTTTTTTAACAATTTAGTATCCATAATGAATTTTTTTTTCCTTCATAAAATTCGTTAGTTTTCTTCATAATATTTTTTAATAGCTAAAATATTGTAAAGTATAAAATATAATAAAATAACTTAAAAAGGCTTCTCATTTGTCAATATTTATTAATGGTAACAAATGAATAAATGTACAATAACTACTTTCTTTTATCTAACTACATTTGAAAACATTAATTGCTATATAAGAATATAGTTAATTAGGAAAATATAGAAAAAATCTCAACTCATTTGCATACACAATGAACAAGATTGTGTTTTTTTAAAAATATTTTTTCACAAAGAATAAATGAAAGAAGATGATTTAAATTTTACAAATTGAAAACGGTTTTCAGGTAATAATTTATCTATGTCTATATCTCTCTTTTATTTTAACATTGTGTGATATTTTAATTTATAAATTTTTAGATTTTGTTGGAAAATCATTTCACTTAGTTAAAGAAAAAGTGGAGTTTTTAAATTTTAAGTCAAGTTTAATGAAATAATAAGTATAATTTTATTGACTAGTAACTTAAGTCTATTGAAGTGGTGACTTATTGATTAGTAAGTCATGTTTAATTACTAAGTAAAGTTTGATTATGTAGTAAGTGGAAATTCATTGAGTAATAACTAAAGTTTAATGGAGTAGTAAGTAAAAATTCATCAAGTAGTAAATCGAGTTTAATTGAGTAGCAAGTAAAATTGAATGAAGTAGTAAGTGAAAGCTAATTGAGTAGTAAGTGAATTCTTATGCAATAGTAACTAGAAACTCATTAAATAATAAGTAGGGTTTAATTGAGTAATAAGTGAAGTCTATTCAAATGATAAGTAGAATCTCATTAAGTAATAACTCAAGTCTACTTACCATGAAATAGTAAGTAGTAAGTCTAGTCTAGTGATGTAGTAAGTAGAGTTTATTTGAATAGTAACTAAAGTTTTATAAAGTAGTAAACAAAAACTCATTGAATAATAAATAAGTGAATTCTAATGAAATAGTGAGTAGAAACTCATTAAGTAATAAGTGAAATGTACTGAAGTAGTAAGTGGAAGATTATTGAGTAGTAAGTGAAATTTAATTGAGTATGAAGTAAAGTCTAATGAAGTAAGTGAAAACTCATTAAGTAGTAATTGTAATGAAATAATAGGTGAAATATTATTGAGTAGTATATCTCAAGTTCACAACATTTTTCGAAGTGCACTTGCCGTTTCAAGTTTTTTCTGTCAACATTGACCTCGTGTGGTGGTCGATCGTATGTATTACCAACAATTACGTGATCTTCATCTAATTGCCACGGATCATGCATGAAAAGAGGTTTTGTGGAAATGACATTTGGTTCCGTACCATGTCTTTCCTACTGCATTAGTGTAGGAATCTATTGTTGTAGGTGTTTGAAAATCATCATCGTTACCAAGACTAATTGTAGATCTCGATGATGTAATATTTTTAGATTTTCATTAGGTATTTTCACTAGTTAAGCTTGGAGTGAAGTGTGATGTATATATATATTTTTTTTGATCAGCAAAGAAATATTTCATTTAACAGTGTGAAATTAAAAGTACAGGAAGATGACATGCATCGAGAGAGGTTCGGAAGTATAAAAATACCCCTACTACTGCTACTCGCATTCATACAACCAACCCCTAAACCTCTCGTTTTTTTTTTTTAATAAAGTTAAGCAGAACTTAACTAGAAAATTAAAATACATGAATCTCCGCAAATCAACCCACCAAAACACCCGAACCAAACTAGAATAACTAAACCAACTCCCAAAACAACCCGAACTAAAAACCCATCTAATCAGCAACCCAAAATTTTAAACACCTACAGCACTCCCAAAGTTGCTGCACACCACTCCTGTGCTGCCCACGCCTATCCTGCACACAGCCATGCCTAACACCTATGCTGCTCCAACGCCCACCTGCTGCACTCCACGCCCACCTGCTGCAACGCCCACTTGCTACACGCTCCTCTTCTGTGCACGCTCCTCTGCTCCTGGCGAGGACATCTCCATGGCTGGACATCTCCTCTGCATCCTCATTGCCGAAACTCCACTCCTGACAAAAACTCATTGCAAGCTCATTACAAGCTCACCCACAGCACTCATTCCAACCTTGCTGAAGACTCCAATCTGCTGCAACTCCCCTGCACAACACCCACAGATCCACAGATCACAACACCCGCAAACACACCCACAGATCACAACACCCGCCAAAGCCTCTGTTGCATCCCACGCCCATGCTGCTGCCAAACTCCATAGCCAACAGGACTTCTGCCAAACTCCACACCCACCAAACACCGACCACCCGCTGGGACACCTCCATACAAATGGTAGAATTTCACCCCTCAAACTCTCACTCGAGGAGGAGCGCTCGAGTGAAAACCGGAAAGAACTACAGCACTCCCAAAGTTGCTGCACACCACGCCTGTGCTGCCCACGCCTATCCTGCTGCACTCCACGCCCACCTGCTGCAACGCCCACCTGCTACACGCTCCTCTTCTGTGCACGCTCCTCTGCTCCTGGCGAGGACATCTCCGAGGCTGGACATCTCCTCTGCATCCTCATTGCCGAAACTCCACTCCTGACAAAAACTCATTGCAAGCTCATTACAAGCTCACCCATAGCACTCATTCCAACCTTGCTGAAGACTCCAATCTGCTGCAACTCCCCTGCACAACACCCGCAGATCCACAGATCACAACACCCGCAAACACACCCACAGATCACAACACCCGCCAAAGCCTCTGTTGCATCCCACGCCCATGCTGCTGCCAAACTCCATAGCCAACAGGACTTCTGCCAAACTCCACACCCACCAAACACCGACCACCCGCTGGGACACCTCCATACAAATGGTAGAATTTCACCCCTCAAACTCTCACTCGAGGAGGAGCGCTCGAGTGAAAACCGGAAAGAACTGAATCGCCTACGAACCAGAGTGCACCCCTTAAGCTCCTACTCGCCAAAAGCGCTCGAATGAAATTCCTGGACTTCCCTGATGAATCAGCTATAACGGCAAGGTTGAAACACAAGAAGACAACCGATGACAAACCTGGACAACCCCTCAAGAAAAACCTGAACCCGCAGCAACAAAAAAACACACCTAGGTGGGAAAATGGGAGACTCAAGTTTATTGAAAGAAAAAACTAACAAGACAGCCACCGAAACGAGGTAGGCCAGCCGACCGCCATAGCCAAAGGCAGCGGCCGGCCAGCCCAAAAAGAGGCCGGGGAAGGAGGTTTTTAGAGAGAGAAGAGGGAGAGAAGTTTTTTAAAGCATACGTATACGTAATAACTATAAGTGTGATGTATATATGTATGAAATAAGGTTGTCACATGTGATTTATTAGTATTATTTTAATCATTGTTAATAGTCACATGTGAATTCTATGAGTGTCACATGTAATATACTAGTGTCATGTTTAATCATTGTCAGTAATCAAGTTTAATAGTCAAATCTAATGAAATGATAAGTGAGTTTATTTGAGTGGTAGTGAAGTCTTATGAAATGGTAGTAAGTGAGATTTATTTGAATAGTAAGTGAAGTTTAAAAAAGTGGTAAATGGAGTCTCATCGATTAGTAAGTATAATTAAATGAAATGGTAAGCCAAAAATAATAAAGTAGTAAGTGGAATCTATTTGAATGGTAGTAAGGTTATTTGAATGATAAATTTAGTTTAAAGATGTGGTAAGTGAGATTTATTTAAGTGATAGTCAAGTTTAATGAAGTGGTAGTAAGTGAAATTTATTTGAATGGCAAGTAAAGTATAAAAAAGTGATAAGTGGAGTCTTATCAAATAGTAAGTATGGTTGAATAAAATGGTAAGCCAAGAATAATGAAGTAGTAAGTGGAGTCTATTTGAATGGTAGTAAGTAAGGTTTATTTGAGTGGTAAATCAAGTCTAAAGATGTGGTAAGTGAAGTTTGTTTCAGTGATAGTCAAGTCTAATGAAGTGGTAGTAAATGGGGTTTATTTGAATGGTAAGTGAAGTGTAAAAAAGTTAAGTGTAGTCTCATCGACTGGTAAGTATGGTTGAAGTTGAATGAAATGATAAATCAAAAGTAATGAAGTAGTAAATGAAATCTAATATAGTAGTAAGTGCAATTTAATGAAATAAGAAGAGACCGAAATTGGAAGAGATAAAAAATAATGGACCCCATCCATTAGATGACCGAGTACTTACCATTTATAAACATAATACTTACCATACGTTTTGATTCTGTTTACCATACTTTTTTATTCTACTTGCCACTCATTCTGAACTTACTATTGTGGAAGCCAGAAATATTCTCCACAGGGAAAACGAGACGAGCTGCTTCTTCCTATGCTTTGCAAGAAGACACCAAGACGTCAATAATCACTCCAGCCCAGATTAGGTCGGGAGGACCCTCCGTCGGTTAAGTCAAGACAATGTTTGAACATATTATATTGAAAAAAAATATTGAACTATATTATTTATTTTTCCTCCCCCCATTTGTTATTCTTGGTTCCTCTTTTTATGTTGTCAATATCTTGCATTTGGATCGTTGGATGACTGCCTTGATCCAATGGTACTCTATGCCATCAGACCTTGGTCGAGCAAGTGGTCACTCTGCCTTGATTTGTCACCGTCAAATTGCTTACTTTGAATGGTGTAGATTAGTTCGGATGCGTATAGACAACTTGCAAGTGCTTCGACCGTCGGATCCTGATCATCGGACGGTTGTATTGTTTGGACACACTGAGCCTGTTCCCCCATCTTTGGCAGTTGCAACCCCCTCCATTAATTATGAACAGATCTGAGGGCTCTCTCTTACTCTGCGGATTTCCTTCTAGAAGGCGATCTCATTCAGACTTCTGGTCACATGACACAGTCCCTTCATCAGATGGTCTTAACAATAGTTTGGGCCTATCCCTTATTTTAGATTGTTTGGTTGGCCCAAAGATTTTGGGCCAAACACTCCTTTCTTTGGGTTTTGGATCAATATATTTATCCCTCCACAACTACTTATTATGAAACAACTTATTACTCATTTTAAACTTACTACTCAAGTTTGATGGACTAGTAAGCTGAGTTTTATTAAATAGTAAGTAAAGTCTAAAGAAATAGTAAGTAGTCTCATTAAGTAATAAGCGAAATTTAATTGAGTAGTAAATCAAGTCAAATAAAGTGATGTCTTAATAAGTACCAAGTTAAGTCTGATAAATTATTGGAACCGCCACTCCCCCGAATAACGGGGGATATTTTTTTTGTATAGTAAGTCAAGTCAAATGAAGTGGTATTTTTTTTAGTACTAAATGAAGTCTAATAAACTTTTACATTTTGTTTAATATTTTAAAATTCATATTTTTAATTTATTATTTGTCAGTTATTGTGACTCTACCTACAATTTGTTTTCATTCTACTACCAATCATTAGTAACTAGATCTTATTGAGTAGTAATCATATTTGATTGAATCGTAAGTCAAGTTTGATGGAATAGTAAGTAGAGTATGAATGAGTAGTAGGTATAGTTTGATTGAGGAGTAACTGAGGTCTAATTGAGTAATAAGTAAAATATCATTAAGTACTTATCAATTGTAAGCACAATATTTATCATTTGTTTTGATTCTACTTACCACGCATTGTGACTTTACTTACCACTTAATATTTCATTATATTTACAATTTTTATGTATTTACTATTTGTTACTAATCTACTTGTCACTTCTTGTAACAAGACATAACTTTATCAATAAAATAACTTTTAGTATTGTATAACTCAAAATTAATTTAAAATTAGATTACACAACTTTAAAGTTTGTTTAGTGAATAGTAAGTAACATTCAATCTTAAACTAAACCGCATGGTTTGATTTTTTTTTTTTTAAATATATGATTTGGTCTTAATTTTTGAAATTGGCGAATCATACTTCACGATTTGGTCCGTAATTTTATAGTTACAATTATGATTTGGAACTGAATTGATTTGTTTATATATGTATGTATGTATATAAAATTTATTATTTACTATATACACCCACTTGATTAGTATTACATTTTTGTACATAAGTTGTTAATCCTATATGTTTACAAGTGTGATTTTGTATAGTAGTTGAATTAGTTCTAAACGATCATCTAAAATACTTTTATTTGCAAAATGCCGACATATATATTCAAATAAATTGTGAGTAAATTTTGTGATTATGTTGTGAAAAATGTGATTCCAAACTAGATTGAACTTCATTTTAATGGTTCAATCTGATTTGGTTATAAGATTTTTATGATTTGATTTCAAATTTCATGAATCCGTAGGCAGTTTGGTGTTTAGTCTTTAGTTTACTCTTAAATAAACCAAATCGAACTATGCTCACCCATAATAGGACAACTTAAAACTTAATGTGACTCTACTTACCATTTGATGTAATTTATTACTAAATATAATAAATCTCATAAGTTTAATATAATTACAATGATCTCTCATTTAGGAAAGTTAAAACAATTGTAGTTAATGCAGATTGTATGTAAACACAAGAATAAAAAAAAGGTAAAATAATATTTCAATGTTAAAGAAATAGTATCAATTTCTTTATTCATACAACTAACAAAATGTTATAAATAAATTAACTAAATATTATGTCAATTAAATTTTAAAAGAAGTCTAATACAATTAATTATGTCAAATTTTATAAAACTGAATCTATATTTTAAATCCTTAAAAAGATTAGTGTAACTCTTTTCTTTTTCTTCTGTATATTCCCATTGCATAAAAGGTGACCAGGGGGGAGGACACCACCTGCAAAACCGGTGATTTCTGGTGGGTAAAGTGAGAGTGGTATTCCACTTATATGTATGGTACAAGAAAACCATTTTTCTGTACTGTAGTTGGACCCTAAATATGGAAATGTTTGAAACTTTAACCAGAGCATTTGCTGTCTTTTGTTCTAGCTAATACTGAAAATATTATGTTTTATCCTTTCTCTGCAGCCTGGTCCAAGAGATTCTCTCATCCAGTGTTATATAAAACGAAATCGGAGCACCCACACATATCACCTTTACCTCAGTTTAAATCAAGGTGAATAACTCATCGTTTGTTTGAGACTCTTCATTCTCATGTTTATTTGGCACTCGGTTTCTTTGTTTGCTTTGATGCCTACAATAACATATTCTTGTTTGTTGGAACCAATCTAATACTTAAATTTCAGTAGACTTAGGTTTAACCATTCATAATTTTCAAGTTGGAGCTTTGGCGAAAGGATAGGCTTTGTTGTCTGTTTGAGCTGTGTCGCGGTCTAATTTTTCATTTTCCTCTTTTAAACACACCCCCCCCCCCCCCCCAAATTTCTGATTTATGGACAGCTTCAAATGATGATGGAAAGTTCCTTCTAGCTGCACGGAAGTGTCGGCGTCCAACATGCACAGACTACATCATCACTCTAAATCCTGAAGACATTTCAAAGGGGAGCAACACCTACATTGGGAAGTTGAGGTGAGTTCAAGTTTCAACTACTATGTGGCATCACTGCTTCTTGATTGTCTCAAGCTCAAACTATTTCCCTTGCTGACAGATCAAACTTTCTTGGGACCAAGTTTACAATCTATGATGCACAGCCTCCAACTGCCGGAGCCAAATTTACCAAATGTCATTCAACCAGGCTAGTTGGCTTGAAACAAGTCTCCCCCAGATTCCCTGCTGGCAACTATCCTATAGCCCACATTTCATATGAGTTGAATGTATTGGGTTCCAGGTAAAAGATAAATTCCCGAAATACGCCCCTCTTATTTTAAGGAAAAGCCTAACGCTTTGTGACTAACGTTTTGTTGGGACTTGCAATTGTTGAGTGAAGAAATTAGTCCATTTAGATGAATGTGGATTTCAAATCAAGGGATTTGAGGTTAAAAATAAAGTTGGCTGTTATAGGTGCATAGGAAAATTATAGAAGATAAGTTGAGATAGAAAAGATGTATTTTAGTAGGATCCTTGTAGTTATCAGAGAATTCTTAGCATGATTTCAAATAACTACTTTATATAGTTATTTTTAACCCAGAATGAATAAGTTTTTTAATTCAATCTTGAAATTCATAGGTAAAAAATCAAATCTAGATTTGAGTTATTCTCCTTGAATGATTAATGTCAAAATCCTCATTCATCTAAATGGACCCTCATTGCTCTTCAACTAAGAGCTTGTGAGGGATTTTCATTGTTTAATTTATATGTTTTCTACTTTTCAGCAGTGTGGAGCTTTTGTTAAATATTGACATATTGTGGAAAACAGGGGTCCAAGAAGGATGAACTGTGTCATGGATGCGATCCCTGCTTCTGCGATTAACACGGGAGGTGTGGCCCCCACACAAACTGAATTCCTAACTGGTAACATGGATTCCTTTCCTTCCCTCCCATTTTTCCGATCAAAATCAACTCGCTTGGAGAATTTGCAACCGGGACCTTTGTCCACCCAGAAAGATGGGAAGTTGGTCTTGAAGAATAAGGCTCCCAGATGGCATGAACAACTTCAGTGCTGGTGTTTGAACTTTAATGGACGAGTGACAGTTGCCTCGGTGAAGAACTTTCAGCTTGTTGCCTTCCTCGAGGATGGAGCTGCTGGGCAAGAGCAAGAGAATGTCATTCTTCAGTTTGGAAAAGCAGGAAAGGATGTGTTCACCATGGATTATCAGTATCCAATTTCTGCATTCCAGGCATTTGCCATCTGCCTCAGTAGCTTTGACACCAAGATTGCTTGTGAATGACCGCCTAACAGGTCACTAGCCCTTGTGTCTCCAGCAAATGACGGGTAAATTCATTATATCACATTTTTAACGTTTGAAATGATATTTGGTCAAACTTATATTCCATCTCTCTTGCTCGCTCGCTCGCTTGCTTTTCCTGTGAAAGCTTTATATTATTGTTTGTTTCCAATGATTACTGAATGCGGATGATTTTCATGGCAGGTGTTGCTATATATAATGAAAATTTGTCTGGGAAGAAAATTGTGGTGCTGTGATATGTGAGTGACTTGCAACAAAGCTTCTGGGAGCGGGAAACTTTTTTCGCTTCTCTAATGGCTGTGTGAGTAGCTAGTTCCCTTTCTCTCCTCTTCTTCTTTTCTTTCCCTGTATGCGCTGTACATAAGAATTGTTTGTATCATGAGCGAAACATGCCTAGCTATGCTGGTTCTCTTGTTGACATGCTTTGACCCTTTTTTCTTGTTTCTTTCTTAAGTGAAAAATCAATGCCTGAATTGCATCTTGAGTATACTGGTTTGGGGTCAGACATGGGAGACTTTATTATCAATATTGGCTACATTCTTGCCTCTATCGTAGACTTTTGAAGTTGAGAATTTGTGGTTTTAGCTTTTTTCTTTTCCGGAATCATCGTGTAAAATATTTTGAAATTTGTTTTCATGTAGAATTTAATCTTCTTGTTCATAATTCTTCCCTTGATCGTACTCTCTTTTGAACATAGTATCCTATGGTCATAAAATTTCATCACAACCATTCCATAGCCATATCTCACACTCATCAATGCATAGACAATGAATAAGTCAAAACTCATAATTTCCTAATAAACCACAGAACAACCATTAAGGTTACACATAAATTAAATCATTCATTATCATTCACATAATCGTATAAAGATCAGCCAAATCAGAAAGGAGGAGGTCCGCCAGGAGGCCCATAGGGTCCAGGTGGTCCCCCAAAACAACCTTGCAGCAACCAGCAACAGCAAAGACAAGACATGCTGCAATTCCAAAACAATAACAAATCCATAAACAAAATGGTCTTCTAAACTGATCATAGCATTAATTTGAAAAATTCCCCCAAAAAATAAATAAATAAGGCAACAATAAGGATGTAAAATTATGCAAAAGAGAAGGATTAGCAAGAAATTTACCAGTTGGTCTCAAAACAAGTATTGACTACGACATTATGAAAAGAGAAAATTTCAAAGTTCACTGATCAGTGACTGCATTTGAAGAAAGATGATCAAACTTACCAAGAATATATCATGTTGCATATGCCATTAGCAAAGCCACCAAAGAAGCCACCAGGTCCCCAGAAACCAAAACCGGGACCTGCAAAGAATCCTGGCCCTCCAAATCCGGGACCCCAACCTGGCCCCCCAGGTCCGGGACCCCAACCTGGCCCTGGGCCCCAGCCAGGACCTCCCGGTCCAGGACCCCAACCAAACCCCCCACCAGGCCCCCCAGGTCCAGGACCCCAACCAGGCCCTGGGCCCCAGCCAGGACCTCCCGGTCCAGGACCCCAACCAAACCCCCCACCAGGTCCAGGACCCCAATCAAACCCCCCACCAGGTCCTCCAGGTCCAGGACCCCCTGGTCCACCAGGCCCTCCAGGACCCATCAGCAGCTCTCAACCACTATGGCACTGCTCAGACTGCCAATGCTCCTGCAACCACCACCAAGAAACCAAACAAGAGATAGTAGTATATCAGCAAGTTTATAAATCTGGAGATTGGCTGCTTACATAAGGCGAACTCTAAATGAAATTTGGGCAGTTTTCATGGCCTGTATGATCTTATCTTACATGTGTGCTATCGCTACCAGAATAACACTACAAACCTGCCATTCAAACAAAGCAACTAAAGTTCTCTTGAACCTAACATTCAGACCAATCTTCACCTACTTTTTCTTGTAAAGTCTAAGTCAATAAAATAACTTATAACCCATATAAAAACTTCTTCCTCTTCTTCTTTTCCCACATCACCCATAATCATTCTCAAAAGGTCGAGATTTTAAATTTTCAAAATCATAAAAACTATCTGTTGCAGCCAATGTAGAGCGCCGATTAGCTCCTACAAGGCCGACCTTAGAAATCATAATTTGATAGGAACAGTAGTTTAATTAAATGATCTTTTCATTCGTGAAGCACAACCCCAAGATAGCAATTAAAAAAAAAACACCCAACCCAAGAATGAATTTGAAAAGCAATATGAAATAAATAAATTATTTGGATTTTATTTGAGAATCAAGAATCCAACAAACAATTTGGCATTACTTTGTAGTATTCAACAAAATTTTTACAATTGAAATTCTGTAGGGGATTCAATTTGGTCTGATCTGTTTGATTAACTAGTGAAATAAGTTTATAAATTTCAAACAAACAAAAGTATAATCATAAATTTTAAGCAAAATGGTATAATCAGGACTCAGATGATCAACAGAAGACTAGGTCAGTTGCAGTCAATAGAACAAAAGAGCATTCATCTGGGAATTGCTTGGCATTTATTAAAAAATAAATAAATAAAAAATAAATAAATAAATAAAATTGGGAATAGGTAGGTGTTAGATTGATTAGGGTTGGGCCGATCATATTAGAGAGCCCATCACAAATTCTTTCTTGGGCCAAACTCAAATCCGTCCATATCAGCCTCTTCGACCCAACTTTATGTACTTCATGGGCAAGCTCTGCTTATGTATAACTATCTCAAGGGCATTTGTTAATATATTAGAATTAAGATTAAAATATATTTTAAAAATTTGAAATGGGTGAAAAATATCTTGTAATATATTTTATTTATTTATCCTTTTCTTATGTATACTTTGGACAAAATTTGTTGTTATTTTTGGTGTGGATGTGGACACTAGGTAAGTATAACTATAACTACCATTGAACAGTGCAAGCAATAGTAGGAATGGCAACGGGGCGGGGCGGGGCCGGGGATCCCACTCCCCGTCCCCGATCCCCGATGCTCGAATTTTCCCCGGCCCCGATCCCCGACGGGGAATCTGTCACTACCCCCACCCCCGCCCCCAACGGGGATCGGGTTTCCCCGACCCCGAGCATTCCCCGGCTAAAAAAAAATTTCAGAAAATGTAATCATCAACAACAAGAAGTTCATCATCTAAAAAAACTTTCAGAAAATACTACTCATCATCAACAACAACAACAACAACAAGTTCATAATCTAAAAACAGATCTGAAAAAAAAAAAATTCAGAAAAGTTTCAGAAATTTTCAAAAAATTTCATCATCAACAACAAGTAGTTCATCATCTGAAAAAAGTTTCAGAACATATAACTCATCATCAACAACAACAACAACAAGTTCATCATCTAAAAACAGATCTGAAACAAAAAAAAATTCAGAAACGTTTCAGAAATTTTCAGAAAATTTCATCATCAACAAGTTCATCATCTAAAATATATATATATAGAGAGAGAGAGAGAGAGCTTCACGATTCACTCCATGAATCATGATCTAAGGGCTGATTCACGATCTGATTCCGAGAGTGATTCACGATCTGTTGCCGATCGGTGATGTGGTGATTCAAGATCTGTTGGTGATTCACGGGGTGTGATCAAATCTGAGAGAGAAAGCGTGAAACCGAGAGGGACAGAGGAGAAAAGAGAAGAGAGTGGCTCTTCGTGTTGAAGTTTCTAGGGTTTTGAACTGAGATCTGCTGGGGTTTTGAGAAGATGGCCACCATGGTGAGCTTGATCGGTTTGGTGAATCGCATCCAGAGGGCTTGTACTGCTCTCGGAGGGAGACCACGGTGGTGGCGACAGAGAGGGTTTTGTTTCAGGGTTTTGACTCGATGAGAGAGAGAAGAGATCGGCAGAGAGCGTCTTAGAGAGAGACAGAGAGACGACAGAGTCGGTGATGAGAGAAGTGGTGCTGCTGCTGTGTTGTGTTTGGGGAAAATGGTTGATTTTTATATATATATATAAGGGGGTAAAATGGTAATTTTATTTCGGGGAAAATTCGGGGACGGGGCCGGGGCCGGGCCGGGGCTTGAACACTAATCCCCGTCCCCGGCCCGAAACTGAACGGGGATTTAATTTCCTTAGATGAATGGTGGAGGTGTGTGCTTAGGAGTTGAGGTGCAAAGGGGTTAAGAACCAAGCACTTTGGAGGCTTGGATGTAGAGATATCAAGAGAGATATATGTTTTTGTCTTGGACAAATTTCTTGGAACCCTTGC